CCCCCCCCCCCCCCTCTCCCCCTCTTCTCCTTTTGGAATGATAGTATCACAAATTTTCGTGAATCACCCAATTGTTAGCACTATTTTTGTTGAATATTTTCACCTTCCATGTGAGCAAGCGAGACACAAGAAAATCTCGGATGGAGAACACGGTCAAAAAGAGAAGCTGAACCCCACCAAGCTCGAGGGGACTATTCCTCCATGGACTTTGACCCCCACACTATAAACCTACACGAATCCCGATGCCCAATGTGACTCCAAAATAACGACTTTGCCCTTCCAACTTCTCTTGAATAACAGTTACTACCCTCTAACAATTGGTTTTCGCCACGTGGAAGACGAAGTCACAATATTCCCGCGCTTTTGCCATGAATTCTTTATGAGCATTGCTATGGATCCGGAATTTGAGATCCCAAATTAATAGGAATTATTTGATCCATGAGTTCCCGTTAAAGAAAAAAACCTATTTCTACTCATTTGGGATGCCAAATTTGGAATCCAAAATAGGAAATATTTTTTATTTTAGTGGCTCGGATTTCTTCAAAACAAGAAAATTTAATTTGTTTCCAAGTAATTAAAAGAATCAATTGCAGAAATTAGACTACAGCACTGTGAAAAGAAAGGGAGAGTTAGTAAACAAAGTGAAGGACAAGAAACACCAGCTCATCTCTTGCTTTCTCTCCTTTTCATGTGCTTAAATCTTTCCTGCCCCAGTGCCTTCTTTCACTGCAGCAAAAAGAAAAGCAACCCTCTCTCTCTCTCTCTCTCTCTCTCTCTCTCTCCTACACTCAGACCAGAGAGAGAAAAAGATTAATACATGTCAGATGCGTGTGTTTTTGTGTTTCTGCGAGAGAGAGAGAGACAGATAGAGTTTCAGGGTCCACTCTTGCAATAAACAATTCTGAAAAAATAATCCACAAACAATTCACATATACCATACGTATCCTTAACTTTTTCTATAAGCTGTACACTTCTTATTCCCAGCCCCACTCCCATATTTGAATCTACTCTCTGGGACAACTCTGTTCCCTATACTGCTCTTTCAAATCTTCAGTCCTTGGTATCACAAAAATTTTCAAAAGAAACTGAAAAAAAAAAGGGATCTTAAACCAATTCTCTCTCCTCCTCATTGAATGTACAAAGAACCTGACCCTTCAACAGTATGGCTGATCCGCAAAAATTCAGCCATTAGCACCTCCAAAACCCAGAGTCGGTCTGACCCACCACCACTACTGTGAGCCAATATGAATTGTTCCCACCGCCACCGAGCCATACAAGTCCCGGCATACTGCTCTAGAAGTGTGGTATTTCTAGATCCAATTTATGAGTCATGAAATTCAAGAGACTTGAAATTCACTTGTATTTTCCCTCAAATATCACCTGTCTTCCACAAAGATTCTTCCTATAAAATCTCGAAACCTCTTGGAATATAGCTTTGGATCGACAGCCGAGATTGAGGTAGGGTCAGCTTGAAAGGATTTGTATGCGTGCTCTAGCTTCTTGCTTATATCGTAGTCTTGTAAAATGTCGATGATGCCAAAGTAGAGAACTACTTCGTAGATTTCACCACTTGGTGAAGGGATCAAATTGCCAAACCCACCTGGGATATACTGATCAAAGTCACTCCTTCGAGCCACTCGCTCTGCTCTCGCAGGTATATTGGCCCCTAATCGAATCAATGGTTTCCTGATTCAATACGTGTTTGATTGCAAATCAATACAAAATGACTTATTCCAAGACCAACAGTAAAAAATATCATGAATATTGAGCAAAATGAGCCCCACAATGCGCTATTAATATAAATCAATAAGCCACTATCATTCCATCAATGTGTTGCTTTTGTCACCCAAAGAAATCAATAGTATTAAGTTTCTGCACACAATAGTTCTGCCACAAATCATGTTGATTAAGAAGCAATGAAGACTTCAAGCTGACCCTAGAGTGTGATCATTAGGTTTCAACCATGGCAAATTAAAGAGCCCAAGAACAACTCTGATGATCCATAGCATAAACATTTCTTTACGGTTCAGTAATAGATTGATAAATTATGGCCTTGTGGATTATCCAGGAAAGCAAAAATATGATGATGCTCTAAATATGCCCCACAAACAACTGTTGTCTACTAAACAACTTCCCCAGGCCACTTTCAATTATTGCAACCACCATGATCAAATTCAATGGTAGAAAATTTATAGGCAACTTAAAGGCTATTCAAACCAGAAAGGTGATGTTCAACCACAATGTATTCTGGAAATTATTTGTCTAGGAAAGTTTTTCAAATTAGCAGTGACGGAGTAATCAAAAGCACTTGCAGAAATGGAGTCAGAATAGATTCCAGGCAACTTCTGCTCCTGTTCATATAATTTCACAGTAAAATCTTGGCAAGTCGCCCAAACAGAAAGAACAAGAAAACAGCAAGAAAAACATACCTTCCAGCTAAAATCTGATCCATGTCTTGTAGCTCTGCTCCAAGGAAGCGACAGCCACGCATGAACTTTTCATTTTGATAGGAATCCTTCTTTCCTGAAAAACATCCACACATCCATTTCAACATTCTTTCGGCTGCACACAATCTTCTACCATTGAGAAAATTGTCTTGACATAATTAATTACCGGTACGCAATAGAAATGGTGATAAACCCATTTTGTCGCCTGTTTTGTCATCACGGAAGTGAAGACCGACTAGAAGACTGTAATCCATGATCTTCTCAGCTTCCAAAAACTCACAGTCTCGATCAATTTGTCTGCAAACAAATTCACGCAAATTATAACTAATGCCAGAAAGTTAAATTAGAGTAGGCATAAGACACGTGAAACTTACTTGATAAGTTCTTGGAACCAGTTCCCCTGGAGGCGGAAAACAAAGTTGAGGTCAAGGTCCTTGAGAGTGGTGGTTTCATCAATCTCCCCCTCGGGCTTATCAGTCGTGCGCCCATGGGATGATCCCTTTAGGTCAAATCGTCTATGTATTCGATATTCCGAGCAACACAAATTGCCCATCACAATAAACCGCGTCTAATTTCCAAGCATGTAGAATGAAATTAGAGAAATGGACAATATTATCATTGGAAAACAACACACTAGAACCAAAACAAATTCCAATTTCAACATCCACCACATACCTTGAGGCCACCCACTGGTTTGACACAATGGACACCAAAGAACTTTGCGACAAGGGAATTTTCATAGTGACAAACATGCTGGTAATAACTGGGAAGCATCTTTATGAGTACCTGAAAACAGAAAACCAAACTTCAATGCCAATATACAAGTGACCAAGTTTTGATTTCCTTCATAAAATAAGGAAGTTCGGTGGAGAATATGAAACAAACAGTTTATCCAATGCCACTTTTATTATCATCATAATCTTAGATCAACTCCTTTTAAAAATTTAGTGAGACAGAAGTCAACAGAGGTAGGCAACAAACCTTGACTTCTGATTTCTTCACTGTTTTTATCATGAATCTATCATCCTGCGTCAAGTAAAAGAAGCTTCCACTCTTCCCCGGAGAAGAAAGCTCTCTAAGAGCATCATTTCCACAAATAGCTAGCATATAATCCGCAGGATCTACTTGGAATAGCTCCCTCAAATGTCTGGCCCAGGAAGCCAAATAACCATTAAGTACCATAACAGCATAAAAATTTCAAATAGAACTCATCATTCAGGTTTTAAATGCTAACAAACCTAAGGAACATACACTCTAATCCATTTATTAATTGCAATTGAATCAAACAATGAACCAAATATAAAAGAATCAACACCTTACACTATGGGACAAAATTGCATTTGAATTAAACACTCAAGCAAGTTAAAATAAACAATACCTGAACACTATAGGACAATAATCTTTCCATCGGAACTCCCCAGATTGATGGGGTGGGGTAACCTTTGATCCTTCAGGAGGAAACCTTGTCCAAAATTTTTCCCTAGGATCAAAATCACTCTGTTTAAGATCCCGAACTATCGAAGCATGCTTACCAACTGAATACCTACACAAATTATCACCAAGACACAGTCAAACTCACATTCAAAATCCAACAGAATTGAATCAAATCAACCCAATGCTCCGAGAGTTGCCCATTTCAACAAGCATACCTAATACCCAATTGGAGATTAAGCATCAAATCATAGTTCTTGTGCCCTTTCGCTATAGTCTGTCCCGGTTTCTTCACTTCCCCTGTAAAACAACAGGAATTCTTCGTAAACTGCCTAATATTTTCTCGATCCAACCGCGAACCATCATGATAAAACATTGAAGCCTCCACATTATCAAGTATATCACAAGTAATATCCCCAGCCTCCCCATCTGATTCCCATATACAAATTCTTGGAAAAGTCCTCTCAGCCACACTACTCCTGGAACCATCCACTGACAACCTCTTCTTCGCCACCACCAACTCACAATTCTCGTCCATCAAAGGAGCAACAAGCTTATTACTGAACCCAAATTTCTCTTCCTTCCCAACACTGTTATTCCCTGGATAAAAAGTTCCATTCAACATTTTCTGATTTTTGGACGCAGTATTGGACTCTTTACTCCAAGAACCAATATAGCAACTCCCATCTGGCCAAGTGAAAACCCCATGTCCCTTTGGAACACCATTTTCCCAATTCCCATCATATCTATTCCCATTGACCCAAATCAAAACACCCCTCCCATTAATCACCCCATTTTTCCACTCCCCTCTATACTCATTCCCATTCCTCCACACATACCTCCCTTGCCCATCTTGCAAGTTCCTCTTCCATGTCCCCTCATAGTAATCTCCATTGCTGTAATGCTTCACACCATGGCCATGTTTACGATCTCCGGACCATGACCCTCGATATGTGTCCCCATCAGAGCCGATAAATGTCCCAATACCCTCCATTCTTCCTGACTTGAAATCACCTTCAAAAGTAGCACCAGAAGGCCAAGAAAACTTGCCTTTGCCTTGTGCCTTCCCTCTTTTCCACTCACCCTCGTACATACACCCGTCGGCCCACAAATACTTGCCGGATCCGTGTGGCGCGTTGCCGGAGAATGAACCAATGTACAGATCTCCGTTGGGAAGTCGTTTCTCGACGGCGGTGCCGGTGGGGGTAGAACTGAAAAAGCTTGCCGTCGTGGTGGTTGTGGGTGTAACACGCCGTGAAGTGGATTGGCCTCGGCTACGAGGTGGTACGAAAACGGACTTGGTCTTGGTCTCGAAATTTATCTCGATAACTTCTGGGTCCAATGATTTCTTCTTCTTTGTGGCAGTGGTGGTGATGATTGTCTTGCTTTCTTCATCAACAGTAGTTGCTATTGTTGACGATACTAAGACTGGTTCTGGCATTTTTTAGAGGTGGGTTTTCCTTTTTTGCTCTCTTATTGCCGGAAATTAGCCGAGACGGCTCCCTTCAACAGCATTTCCGCCGATTTTCTCTGTATATATCCATGCTAACATACACGTCTCTCTCTCTCTGAAATTGTGTTTCCAAATGGTTCTCTAGTGGCTTATACTGGGAGGATAGGTGGGTAACCCTGCAAAGGTAAGAGCACAGGAAGAGGAAGAGGAAGAGGAAGAAAGACGAAATAAAGAAGAGAGAGAAACAAAAAACTGAAAAGTGCGAAAAGAGAGAGAGAGGAAGTGAGGAGAGAGGAAGTACGTGTCTGTGTGAGAGAGAGCGAGGTGGTGAGAGGTGAGTTTTTGTTCTTTTGGGCCAATGTATATTTTTAGTTCTTTCGGTTTTTTTTTTTTTTTTTTTTTTGG